CATATAAACATGACGTAGGTTTTTGCCTCATTTAAATATGGTGAATATTTAAGGAGTGTTAAAATCCGGCAAAGAGCATGCTTTTTTATTTGAAAATTTACCAACAGGTGGGATTTTAGAAATCTCATCCTTGTCGGCAGTGCCCCTCCTGGACTTGAAGTCACCCCTGCGTTGGTCTATACCTGTCCCTGTCACGTGCATAGTGAGTCTTTGTGTATATCTGTACTTACTAGCCTCTACTTCAAGCATAGGTATATAAATATATGTAAATATAACACATGTAAATATAATGGAACATGGGTGTAATATACAGGCATGCGCTGCTTAACGGCCGGGCTGTGTTCTAAGAAACGTGTCACTAGGCAATTCATCCTGTGTGATGTCATACAGTCCACCTCACACCTACGAGGTCCAGCCTATGACACACCCGGGCTGCAGACCTGTGCAGCACATGACAGTACTGACCACTGCTGGCAACTCTCACACAATGGTAGGTATCTGTGCATCCAAACATGTCTAAACATAGGAAAGGTATAGTAAAGATATGGTATAAAAGATAAAAATGGGGCACTGTGCGGGCCCTGGCCGTGAACGGACCTGGCAGGACTGGAGGCCGCTGGGTGAGTGCGTAAGGACAGTGCAGGACACAGCGTCCACTACGCAGACCTGACGGACCCCAGTTCATAAAACAACACGGATTCAATCGAGCGCGAGGGACCGGGTGCCATCACGAGGAGCCGTCAACTCGAGATGCCCGAGGCTGCTGCCAGGGGACCCCAGACGGTCCACAGCAGACCTGTAGTAAGTGGAGAGCACGCTCTGACGGACGTTGGAAACTCTTAGAGACACACGAAGCAGGAACGGCCGTGTGCCATCACGGACCGCATGAACTGCACGTTCTGACCGTCACGCGGATGGCAGCAGGGTGGCCGCGTTACACCAGCGTCACCCCAGACACTGCCACGGCTCAGCGGCCGTGATGTCCCTGGGCGAGGAGTTTCTCAGCTCTGCTAAAATCTACGGGACCACCATCCTATGTGTGGTCTGTCCCTGACCTGAACACCATCATGTGGCATGTGACTGGACAGACATTCAATAGATATCATTCATGTATGTTGCATGTGAACAGAATACATGTAAATACATACGTGCATATGCAAAATGATTTCAAGTAAAAGAAATAGTGTCTTCTCTAAAATTCAAACGTTCAAAAGAAGAGGTGCAACACTACAATGTGCTTGGCTGTGCTCTGCTGCACCTCCGCGTCACAGCCAGAGCATCACACCGACGCCTGTCGGCCTGCTGCACGTCACAGCCAGAGCATCACACCGACGCCTGTCGGCCTGCTGCACATCACAGCCAGAGCATCACACTGACGGTGTCTGCCTGCTGCACGTCACAGCCAGAGCATCACACTGACGCCCGTCTGCCTGCTGCACGTCACAGCCAGAGCATCACACCGACGGCGTCTGCCTGCTGCACGTCACAGCCAGAGCATCACACCGACGGTGTCTGCCTGCTGCACGTCACAGCCAGAGCATCACACCGACGGCGTCTGCCTGCTGCACGTCACAGCCAGAGCATCACACCGACACCCGTCTGCCTGCTGTACGTTACAGGCAAAGCATCACACCGACGGTGTCTGCCTGCTGTACGTCACAGCCAGAGCATCACACCGATGGTGTCTGCCTGCTGTACGTCACAGGCAGAGCATCACACCGACGCCTGTCTGCCTGCTGCACGTTACAGGCAGAGCATCACACCGACAGCTGTCGGCCTGCTGCATGTCACAGCCAGAGCATCACTCCGACGGCTGTCTGCCTGCTGTACGTTACAGGCAGAGCATCACACCAACGGTGTCTGCCTGCTGTACGTCACAGCCAGAGCATCACACCGACGCCTGTCTGCCTGCTGCACGTTACAGGCAGAGCATCACACCGACGGCTGTCGGCCTGCTGCATGTCACAGCCAGAGCATCACACCGACGGCTGTCTGCCTGCTGTACGTTACAGGCAGAGCATCACACCAACGGTGTCTGCCTGCTGTACGTCACAGCCAGAGCATCACACCGACGCCTGTCTGCCTGCTGCACGTTACAGGCAGAGCATCACACCGACGGCTGTCGGCCTGCTGCATGTCACAGCCAGAGCATCACACCGACGGCTGTCTGCCTGCTGTACGTCACAGCCAGAGCATCACACCGACGGCTGTCTGCCTGCTGTACGTTACAGGCAGAGCATCACACCGATGGCTGTCTGCCTGCTGTACGTCACAGGCAGAGCATCACACTGACAGCTGTCTGCCTGCTGTACGTCACAGGCAGAGCATCACACCGACGGCTGTCTGCCTGCTGTACGTCACAGGCAGAGCATCACACTGACAGCTGTCTGTTGCTGCACGTCACAGCCAGAGCATCACACCGACGGCTGTCTGCCTGCTGCACGTCACAGCCAGAGCATCACACCGACGGCTGTCTGCCTGCTGCACGTCACAGCCAGAGCATCACACTGATGGCTATGGCTGCAGGTAGCAGATCTCACTCACAAATTCCATCCCAGAATAGTGACGGACCGTCTCACTGTTCCAGCTCTGAATGCGGGCACCGGGCAGCACAGGGTTAGCACTGGCTCCAGGGTTTGCTACTGCAAGTGTGGCCTTACACCAGCTGTGGAATGCAGCCGATGCCACCAGGAATGCAGACTCTCAGGCTGCCCCGAGGCACTGAGTGGGACTCTGCATTTGAGCTGGTTCCCGTGAACAGCCTGCCCCGAGGCCAGGAGCGTGAGCCCTCAGTTAGCGAGGGCCGACATCGCCCGTGCACAGTCCTCAGTCTGTGATCTCACGGGGCGGCTGGGACCTGGGCCAGGCTCCTAGAGCTCCGCGGGGCAGGACCTGCTCCCTGGGGACAGACGTCAGCCTGCTGGCAGCGGCTGCACCACACTAAAGCCACACTCCGAGGGGCTCAGGAACGGAGCTGCTGTTCGGGAAGGCCCTCAGCAGCAACCGCCCTGCAAGGTTGAAGGAAATTCCTTGGTGAGGTGGCCCTCCGATGGCATTCTCGAATAGAAATGTGGCAGGTTGGGAGCAGGCTGGGCCAAGGCCTGGGCACTCCCTCTTTCAAGACTTTATCAGCTCCTCGGCCGTGTCAAAGGGGAGCGAGCTGGGCTGGCGGCCCGGACTGGTGACGAGGATTACACGGGACCGCGGGGGAGCCGGCAAGGGGGTGCGCCGCAGCAGGTGCCTGGGCACAGCTCTCCACAGCTCAGTGGGGCTCTGGACACTGTGCACAGCTGTGTCCAAGGCCATCTGGAGCCCACGCCCCGGGGGACGGACGACGGCAGCTAGGAGCTGAGTTCTCAGAGGCTCTGTATGAGGCCTGCCCCGGTCTGCCCTTGCCGGCCGTGGAGGAGAAGGATGTGTCCTAAATTAACCACCTTGCTTTGTTTTCCTCATCCTGCCTGAGGACCAACGACCTGGTCCCCACAGAAGACTCTCTATCTCGCCAAGTCCAGGCAGCAGTGTCTTTAGAGCGAAATAGACTGGGAGAGACTGCCTGTGTGGCTTCCAAAGTCCCGCAGCCGAGAGCCACAGCGGCCGGGAGCCACACAGCCTGGGCCCACGCGGCCGGGAGCCACACAGCCTGGGGCCACGCGGCCGGCAGCCATGTAGCCGAGAGCCACAGTGGCCGGGAGCCACACAGCCTGGGCCCACGCAGCCAGGAGCCACACAGCCTGGGGCCACGCGGCCGGGAGCCACACAGCCTGGGCCCACGCAGCCAGGAGCCACACAGCCTGGGGCCACGCGGCCGGGAGCCACACAGCCTGGGGCCACGCAGCCGGCAGCCAAGCCCATTTGTCCAGCATTTACTCAGCAGCTGTCGTGAGCAAGTTCCCAGAAGATCGGATGCCCGGCCCTGCCTTGCACGCTGTCCCCGTGAAGGGCAGTGCTACACGGGCCAGGCGCTCTCGGGAGGCAAGGGTTTGGAGCAGGGGAAGCTCGGAACCTGCTGGCTGGAGGGCAGCGGCCAGGGAGCAAGGTCGCGGGGCACAGTCCAGGCACACACAGCCTGGCGGGAAGGGCACAGGCCGGCTCGTCCTCAGTCCCCCTGCAGGTGCGCAGGGTGTGGGAGTCGCAGCACACCTCTGGCTCCCCCCCCCCCCCCCGCTCCACCCTGCTCCGGCCCTGGGGCTGACTCCCAGGCGCTGCCCTGTGGGTCCTGGCTGAGGGACCACAGCAGCAGCAGGGCCGCCTGGGGGGGGCGAAGGGCGGGCTGAGGAATGTGTGCTCCTGGCTCCCTCCCTGCTGCCTCCTGGTTTGGCATTGCCTGAGTCCCTCTTCTAAGCCCCTCTCCCCGTCCCCTAAAGTGGGGGACAGTTTCCCACAGGCGCCAGTCCACGAGTGCCTGCCCCACCCCTCCTGGTTCCTGAAACCCTTCCTGCACCTCCGAGGAGAGTCCCCTCTGGAAACACTGCTCAGTCTCCCTCGTTGAGTGTCCCCTTATGCCGTGACCCCCAAACCGAAAGCTCCCCGACTCTGAGCTTGGGTGACAGTGATGAGGTGTGACTAACCGGATGTCCTGCGAACACTCCAACAGCGTTCCACCTACAGAGGTGCGGGCCCCGCCTCTTCACAGCGAGGGAGCCGAGGCCCAGAGTGGTTAAGGGCAGTTTCTAAAAACTCCGTCCTAAGGGGCAGAGCCCGTACCAACCCAGGCCCATCTGGGCCACAGCGTCTTCTGGGAGAAGGACAGAGGTAAGGTCCTTAACACAGAGGAAGGAAGGGAACTGAGAAAAAGGAGGAGTTCAAAGATGTCAACCGTGGTCACTGCTGGTTTTGGCAGAGGGTGAGGCAGACACATCTCCCTCAGTGGGCTCACCAGTCACAGGTGAATAACGCGGACTCCTGCGCTTTCCAAGGGAGGAGGGAGTACCTTGCCCAGCGCTCTGGCGCCGCCTGTGGTTTGCTGGGGCCCAGTGCATGGGACCCCGTCTGTCTCTTACCTCTGGGTTTCCTCTTGCCGAGCACCGACTGCCACGCGACGGCCACGGTGAAGAGCAGGACGCTGAGAATCCCCGCACAGCACAGCAGCACCGCGTACGCGTGGAGATCTGCAAGGCAGGCCCGCAGGACACTGAGAGGATGCGCCAGCGCACGCGCCCCCGGGGGACACACCTCGCACACCTGACACCGACCCCAATGTCAAATACACTCTTGAAAACTTTTGGAGAAGACACAGGAGGAAAAGCTTTGGGGTCCAGGGCTCAGCAAAGAATGTTCAGACTTGACAGCCAACGGACCATCCCTAGCAGAAGAGTTGGATTTCCTTTGATTTCAGCAATTAAACTTGTTTGTTCTGTAAACGCCCAAAGGAACAGGATGAAAAGGTGAGCTACAGACTGAAAGAAGTTAATTGTAAACCACGAACTGAACAAAGGACTGGCATCTAGAACATAAAACATTCAAAATTCAACAGTAAAAATAAAGAATCCCGTTTGAAGATGGACAGAGACACATTTAAGCGAAGAGAATCCACAGGTGGCAAACAGCACACGAGAAGATGTTCGATTACTTAGCCGTTAGAAAAGTGCACAGTTAAACCTCAAGGAGCTGCACCACGCTTATCGCAGCAGCAAAAATAAAAGCAGTGACAATACCAAGTGTTGGCAAGGACACAGCTGACCAGGCCAGCCAGACACTGCCAGCGAGAGTACCAAGTGGTACCGTGCAGTCTCTGGAAAGACACAGGCAGAACTCGTGTTCCACCCTGCACCGCACTCTGGGCCCCGGTTTCAGAGACATGAAAACCTAGGTTCACCCAAAACCTGCACACGGATGTTTGGAGCAGCTCTGTTTATAACCGCCAATGGCTGAAAACTGAGCAGGGGCCTTCAGGGGGTGAAAGAGCCGGGCCCCACCCACCCCGTGGACACTTAGCAGGAAAGAGGAGCAAACCGCCCACACGGCCGGGACCTGGATGAATCACCAGACTAGGCTGAGTGAGTGAAAAAGTCCTACAGGTTACACACTGTACAATTTTATTTTGTGTAGTGTTTACTTTGCATCCTATCCTTGAAATGACAAAATTATAGAGCTAGAGAACAGATTCGTGGTGGCTGGAGGTCGGGGGAGTGAGAGGAAATGAGTCTGGCTTCAGGGGACCCTCGTAGAGACGGACTGTTCACGTCATGGCGACATCCTGGCTGTGATACTGTTCTCGAGTTTTTCAAGATTAACCATTGAGAGAAATTAGACAAAGACTCCAAACCAATACAAAGGATCTATCTCTGTATGATTTCTTAGAAATACATGTTAATCTACAAGTTTCTCAAACTAAATGTTAGGTTCAAATAGTTACACTATGTTCATATATGTCTTAGTCAGTCTGGGCTGCGATGGTTTAAACAACGAGCATGTATTTCTCGCAGACCTGGCGTCTGGTGACACTCTCCTCCTGCTTTAGACGCATCTTCTCCTGGTCTCCTCACGTGGCAGAGGACAGACAGCCAGCCAGCAGGTGCTCATGGGGTCTCCTCTTGTAGGGAGACTAGTGCCACACACTAGTCCCATCCTCACGACCGAATCACCTCCCAAAATCCTACCCCCGAACACCATCCCATTAGGGGAAGGATTTTAACATGAATTTGGGGGAACACAAACATTCAACTCATAACAATATACATCAATTTCTTAAAGTCCAGTGATCAACTTGATCACCAACCCGACAGGTAGAATGCCCAGAAAGTGAAAAGAAGCCAGAAGCTTTATGTTAACCTGTTATGCAGCAAACGGCTGCAGATGGCTGGACCTGGCAACAGTGTTTCTCTGCTGACTTAAATTTCTTTAGTCAACAGACATTAATCCTCAGCCAAGTTCAGCAGGCTCCTAGATACAAGAAATAATAATGAAGATGGTCAGAAATCAGAGGCTGCATGGCACCGAAACATCAGGAATGCGTGCCCAGTACTGGGCACAGGCAGAGAAGGGTCCCAGCCCAGCTGAGGCCAAGGGGCTTCCCAGAGGACGGGAACTCTGCTCTGAGTCATATTTAAAATGACACAGAAGATGCAAAAGTATGTAGAGAAAATAAAAATATAGAAAAAATAAAGAGGAAGAAACAAAGTACTTCCATCACCCTGGGATAAGTATTGCTAAGATTTGGTGTCCTATATGATGCAGATATATACTTTATGGGTAGATTTGTGAATTAAGATCATATAGCTTCATAACTTTTTTTTCATAGCTTCATATCTTACTTTTTGTTGAATCTCATTTTCTCATTGAGCATCGAACCAGGCACCAGTCAGGCACGTGCAAGGCTGCAGGCTCCAACCTCGGTAGGGGGCGTTCCTCCTTCTCTCTCTCTGCCCCCCTTCCTCTCTTTCTAAAATCAATAAAAATATTTTAAATGATTCTAAAATATTTTTAAAATGTAATAAAAGTTTATCATATTAACATATGTGACTTGATATGTTACTCAAAGTGTTTCTGACAGTTTTTTATAGTAAATTATTATTATTTTTTTTGGTAACCCTCATCCAAGGTGTTTTTTTTTTCACTGATTTTTAGAGAGAGTGGAAAGGAGGGAGGCAGGGGAAAGACAGAGAGAAAGAGAAACATCAATGTGAGAGAGACCGGACAGGGATGGAACCTGCAACCCAGGTACGTGCCCTTGACCAGGAATCGAACCCTCAACCCTTTCCTTGTACAGGCCGATGTTCTAACCACTGAACCACACTGGCTAGGGCAGTAAATGCTTCTATGATGAGCATTTATAAGCTTAAATCGTAATGCGTCTCTTACGCTTTGTTCCTAAGGTTAAGTTCCCAGAAGAAAAATCGCTGAGTCAAAAGGAATTCACCTCTGGAAAGCCCTTGGGACCTGGAGAAGTGGCCGGGTAAGTGCTCTACTGAGCGAGCGAGCACGCCCGGGGTGGCGGCGGCTGGCTCGGAAGACTAACGTTCGGTGAGAAAGGAGGAAGGAGAGGGATGGAATCAGGGGTCTCAGCTTCCTCTGGACTCTCCCTCCACAGCCCCTGCCCCAGGAAAGCCCCAAGCAGCTCTGCCCCGGGGGCCTGCAGGGCATCAGGCTGCCAGCTTGCTGCCCACACCATCTGAGTGGGGTCCTGCTCCTGGGAACCGGCAGCCTGGGCAACAGCAAGTGGAAATGACAGCCTGCCCAGGTGCAGGGAAGAAAGCACCTGTACTCACGGTGAAGGACAGCCGGCCCAGGTGCAGGGAAGGGAGCACCTGTACGCACGGTGAAGGGCAGGCGGCCCAGGTGCAGGGAAGGGAGCACCTGTACGCACGGTGAAGGGCAGGCGGCCCAGGTGCAGGGAAGGGAGCACCTGTACACATGGTGAAGGGCAGCCGGCCCAGGTGCAGGGAAGGGAGCACCTGTACGCACGGTGAAGGGCAGGCGGCCCAGGTGCAGGGAAGGGAGCACCTGTACGCACGGTGAAGGGCAGGCGGCCCAGGTGCAGGGAAGGGAGCACCTGTACACATGGTGAGGGGCAGGCGGCCCAGGTGCAGGGAAGGGAGCACCTGTACACATGGTGAGGGGCAGGCGGCCCAGGTGCAGGGAAGGGAGCACCTGTACGCACGGTGAAGGGCAGGCGGCCCAGGTAGAGGGAAGGGAGCACCTGTACGCACGGTGAGGGGCAGGCGGCCCAGGTGCAGGGAAGGGAGCACCTGTACGCACGGTGAAGGGCAGGCGGCCCAGGTAGAGGGAAGGGAGCACCTGTACACACGGTGAAGGGCAGGCGGCCCAGGTGCAGGGAAGGGAGCACCTGTACACATGGTGAGGGGCAGGCGGCCCAGGTGCAGGGAAGGGAGCACCTGTACACATGGTGAGGGGCAGGCGGCCCAGGTAGAGGGAAGGGAGCACCTGTACACATGGTGAGGGGCAGGCGGCCCAGGTGCAGGGAAGGGAGCACCTGTACACATGGTGAGGGGCAGGCGGCCCAGGTGCAGGGAAGGGAGCACCTGTACGCACGGTGAAGGGCAGGCGGCCCAGGTAGAGGGAAGGGAGCACCTGTACACACGGTGAAGGGCAGGCGGCCCAGGTGCAGGGAAGGGAGCACCTGTACACATGGTGAGGGGCAGGCGGCCCAGCTGGAGGGAAGGGAGCACCTGTACACATGGTGAGGGGCAGGCGGCCCAGGTGCAGGGAAGGGAGCACCTGTACACATGGTGAGGGGCAGGCGGCCCAGGTGCAGGGAAGGGAGCACCTGTACGCACGGTGAAGGGCAGGCGGCCCAGGTGCAGGGAAGGGAGCACCTGTACACATGGTGAAGGGCAGGCGGCCCAGGTGGAGGGAAGGGAGCACCTGTACACATGGTGAGGGGCAGGCGGCCCAGGTGCAGGGAAGGGAGCACCTGTACACACGGTGAGGGGCAGGCGGCCCAGCTGGAGGGAAGGGAGCACCTGTACACATGGTGAGGGGCAGGCGGCCCAGGTGCAGGGAAGGGAGCACCTGTACGCACGGTGAGGGGCAGGCGGCCCAGGTGCAGGGAAGGGAGCACCTGTACACATGGTGAGGGGCAGGCGGCCCAGGTGCAGGGAAGGGAGCACCTGTACGCACGGTGAAGGGCAGGCGGCCCAGGTGCAGGGAAGGGAGCACCTGTACACATGGTGAAGGGCAGGCGGCCCAGGTGGAGGGAAGGGAGCACCTGTATGCACCGTGAAGGGCAGGTGGGCAGGCGGCTGGTGGGCAGGACAAGAAAGCGTCTCCCTCAGGGGGAGGGGAGCCAGCCAGAGACACAGACGGCCTTCGGGGAGAGTTCTGGAAGCCAAGAGACCCCCTCCCAGCATTAGGTGCTGCAGGACGACATCCACTGGTTTTCACCAGGAAGCTACTAGAAAAGTTCTGAAGTAAAGAAGTTCAGGGGGATGGTGGGAGCGAAACCAGGTTACAGGGGTCGAGGGGTTCAGTGGCATGGGAGGAATCTGAGACAGGATGGAGAAAACACTCCTAGAACCAAACTGGAAACAGACTCTCCACAAAGACCCTGTGCCCAGAGTGTGGGCTCTGGGGATCCCTGCGTGGTCAGAGCTGGGAGACGGGCTTGCCTCCGTTTAAAAACCATGACACTCTGAGGGACAGAGCAGAGGTCCCGGAGCAGGAAACAGGACAGGATGCAGCCGGGCCAGAACCTGGAGGACACGTGATAGTCCTGGACCTGACCCAGCGCAGCAGACTCACTGGGACAGGCTGCGGCTGGGACACGGGGAACAGCGTGGGCACAATGCCACACAGACAGATGTGGGCCAGGTGGACACATCTGCCTCATAAGGTTCTAGAGATGTGGCCCCTGGACCAAGGAAACTGGCTTCGGTCTCACTCGGGGAACGGAGACACGCTGTCCCACTGTGTGCCGGGGAGTGGACGCCCCGAAGCGCAGCCGCCTCTGCAGCCCCCCTTCCCTGGCTCTGGGACTGCAGAAACCACGAGGCACACGGCCCCGGGGAGAAGCTCCACAGGCGTCCCCAGAGCGCTGTCGACATCTCTGGCCCACACCGCCCGGCAGGAGGAGAGGAACTCCAAAAGGCCCAGGCGGTGTTTCAGATCACAGCCTCCTCAACACGGCACCAGGGGCTCTCCACACGCAGCCGCGGGCACAGAGTCATAGAACATCTGGCCAGTCTGGAAGGCTCAGCTGGCCGCCAAGCACGCAGGCCCTCTGGGCTGTGGACACTGGCCAGCAGGCACCAGCTGCCCGCGTGTGAGTCCCCGCAGGCTCAGACGAACCGTGCCTGTGCCCGGTGGCGTTCCTGACGCGATGTAAACCTTAGAAAGTGTGGCCCTGCGGGAGGAGAAAAGCTAAAGAAAAAGGAAAAAAAAAAACCCTGAGTTTCCCCGGGCTGGGCAGCAACCATTGGCCCGAAGTTGTCATTTTTTCCTCTGGTCCAAGCTTCCCTTTCGCTGCATAAAATCTATGCAAACAAAGATGCAGCCTGAGCCACAGCAGCCAGGGTTACGGACGCCTCAGGCCAGGGCCAGCCACGGCAGGGCAGCGGGCGGAGCCGCGACTCCCGGCCAGGCGGCCGCAGCTCCGCCCTGGGCAGCCTTCTCCGGCCGGCGGTGGGCGCAGGGCCTGGACTTCTATGTAAACACCTCTCTAACTATGTGTTGGCTCAACGGTTTTAAAACAGAACAGGCCAAACAACGCTTGTCCAGAGATCGAATCCAAGCCTTTAGGTCTCTATTTAACAAAAAGTCTGAGCTTCACTAAATCTGGGATTCGTTTTCAAAATACATTTACCTGCACACTCAAAATAATTCTGAAAATCATGTTGCAGTCCCCGAACTCATGTGCACTTTTGTCTTTTGCCATCGGACTTCCAAAGGCGCCAGTGTCATTTCGGGCTCAGTTGCAAGCCGCCACGCGGAACCGGGTCCCTGCGGCCCAGCACAGCCTCCCTGAAGCAGATGGTGGGGCCGGCAGGCTGCAGGAGGATCCCGCTCCCAGAAACCGGGCGCAGCAGGCCAGGCAGAGCGCCCCAACGGCAGACAGCGCCTGTTGCTGGGCAACCCCGAGTCTGCAGGGGAATTCAGAGCCGCGCTGCAGCCTGGTGACCCCGGCATTCCTCAGTGCGGTGCAGGAACCCGATTCTAGAAGGCTGATGTCAGTCTCCACATTTCCAGAGCAAACGCCAAGGCAAGGAGACCGCAGTTCTGCGGAGAGAGCTATGCACTGCCATCTCTTCGTCCAGCCGGTCATACCCTCCTGCTCGGGACAAATACCTGAGCAGAGCCCGGAGGGACTGCATTGGCTCAGTGCCTCCGGAGGGCGACGATGCCTCTTTGTATGGCAGGCGCACAGAAGGCCCAGGGAGCCCAGAAGGATGCGTGTCCGTCCCGGGCCCTCCTGCTCTCTCCCAGGAACCAAAGGGCAAAGGCCGGGAGCAGGCGCCGGGACTTTCGACCGTAGGCCCGACCTTGCCAACTCTGCGGCTGGGTTAGGAAAGCGAAGCCAGGGTCGCTGAGGCCGACAGGCCAGGGAAAGAGCACTGTGCAAACAGCCCCGAGGCAGGGCGCGGGGTGGGATGCAAGGCTGCTGCTCGGCGGGACCTGGTGCTGGGTCCAGAAGAGAGGCCGGTTGGGCTCCGACTCCGAGTTGAGTGGAGAGTCACCTGATACTCTGTAGCCACACGTGAATTTTTAAAGGTCATTAGGTATACAATGTGTTTTAGAGATGCCGATTATGCTGCAAGGTGTATAGAGGCTAAATGCTATAATCCTTCCAAATACTTAAAATCATGGTCTTTGTAAACTCCTCGCTCCCTGCTAAATACAAAGTCTTTGATCTCTTCTAAATGTAATCATCTGCGTCTGGGGGCGGGGAGAGCACAGACTCTGGGTCACTACTAACAGACCCCCAGGAGAGTCCTATGAAGCTGATGATAAAGAGGGCTCCCCCGTCACAGTGGCCAGTGACCTGTGACCTGCCTAGGACCCTCCCTGCCATCACAGGGCCTGGGTCACAGAAACATCAGCTAAAGCCAATGGCTTTTTCTACTGCTTCACCCTGTGAGGAGTAAGTCACTTTCCTATCTTTGCTAATGAACATTCGCTGGATGAAAGGCTAAGGGAGGAAATTTGCTAAAAGGTCATCAAAGAAAAAGGCAGCTACCAAACACGCAGAAGAAAAGCAGGGAGAACAAAGAACCACTGTTCGTACAAAGTGCAACCTGAGAAACACAGTACTTATGACTTGGAAACAAAACAAGAAATCCCAATGGCTACCTGGGTGACACCTTATGGTTGGCACACTATGTTCATAATTATGGGTACACTATTACACAAGGGAAAGAGCCTCAACCCACTGCTTTAAAAACGTGTGTGTGTGTGTGTGTTTACTGATTTTAGAGAGAGAGGAAGGGAGGGGGAGAGACAGAGAGAAACACTGATTGGCTGCTCATACACACCCTACTGGGGCTGGAGCCCACAACCTGGGCATGTGCCCTGGCTGGGAATCGAACTGGCCGGTGACCTCTTAGAGCACAGGACAATGCCCAACGCTGAGCTACACTGGCCAGGGGCCCACTGCTTATTTTTAAGATGTTGAGAGAGAAGAACGGAGCAGGAGAAACAGAAGCATCCAGGTGACCCACAGCTCTAGGCCAGCTTTTGGAAGGGTGGTTTCACCCCAGCTGTTCTCCCTCGGGCTTCGCTTCCATCACACCTGCTGAGTTAACAGAAAGGGACAATGACGCCCCAAGGACACGTCTCGTCCCCTGGGATCCTTCTGACAAGGTCATTGCCATCAACAGCCCCGCCTTCACGAGCTGTAATCCTTCACAATTTCCTGATCACCTCTTAGCATGAGTCAGTTGTGTACTGATCAAAGGTTCCAACTGAGAACTCCCAAAGCACACTTCCTCACTGTTTATGGCCGTATCCTCAGCCACCCTGTGATCATCTCCGTGGCTTTCCTAACTTTCAGGCCAGGTTTCTCAGCCTTGGCACACTGGCATCAGGGGCCAGAGAAGTCTGCTGTGGCGCTGGCCTGTGCATTGTTGGCCGTTTAGCAGCGACCTTGGCCCCTTCCCAACAGATGCCTGTAGCACCAAAATGCTCCTTACGGACACCAAAAAGGTATCCATATGTTGACAAATGTCCCCTGGAGAGACACAACTGCCTCCTGTTAAGAACCACTGCTCAAGGCTCAAGTTGCAGCTTGCCTCAGAACCACTGGAGGGCTGGGCAGCGCCCCCAAAGTTCCCGATTCTGTGCGCAAGGGCAGTGCCCAACAAGGGATGTCTGTAAGGGGCTCCCAGCTGATTCCGATGCTTCTGCTGCTGCTCGGGGCCCAGCTGGGGAGCCCCTGCCCGAAGGCCCTGGCTGCAGGCTGGACTCCAGGCTCCGACCGGCTCCCGCTCGACCAGAGATGTGCAGGCAGCTGTGTTTGCAAAGACCCCTGGCGAGTCGAAAATCACTTGCTTACGATTTCAAACTGTTTCCAGAATCCCAAACTCCTTAAGAATCTGAGAGAAATCCCTGGCTGGTTTGGCTCCGCGGTTAGAGCATCAGCCCATGGACCAGTGAGTCACGGGTTCGATTCCGGTCAAGGGCACGGACCTCGGTTGCGGTTCATCCCCGGCCGTGGTCGGGTCACGTGGGAGGCGGCCAGTCGATGTGCCCCTTTCACATGGATGTTGCTCTCTCTCCCTTTCTCGCTCTCTCTCCCCTCCCTCCCACTCTGACTGATAATAAATGGGGAAAGATCCTCGGGCAAGGATTAAAAAAAAGAATCTGAAAAAAAAATTAGTCACAATGGATATACTTGCCATTTTTATATCACTTGAAGGTCCCTCCCTGATGCCACCCGAGAGTAGGAATTCTGGAGCAGGACAAACACGTGATGCAGATTGGACCTTACACCCCCACCTTCCAAACCCCTGGCCGATGCCACCCAAAGCCCCGTCCTACCCTGAGTAAGTTTAGGGCTAGAAAACAGCGTGATCCTACGGCAGCACTGACAAGCTAGGTCCTTCCTTCCTGTTCTACTCCCTTCACATTATCTAAAGTGAGGTCCCCTCTTATAATAAAAAAGGAAGCAAGCTTTACCTGCAAAAAATGCCCAAGTGTCTTTCTTTTTTTCCAAGGATGAGTCTTCGGAAGCTGTGAGGGGAGTCACTGCAAGACAAAAAGGAAGAACGGCGTGAAGCCGAGCGGCCTCGGACCCGGCCCCGCGGCGCTCCGCCGCGCCACGTGGCACCTACGGCCCTTACAGAAAGTCGTTTTCACTTGTGCAAAACCACGTTGAATGGCCACAACTCACAACTCATGGAGAGGCGCGATGACTCACACAGCGACCGAGACCTGAGGCAGCAGAGCGGGAGTGAAGACGTCTGTTTAAAAGCCAGTAAACGGCAAAGCTGGGCCGCAGTTCAGCGGAAGTTCCACTTGCCCCACATTCTTGCAAAATAACGAGTTCCCCAATGGGAGTGCCGGGAACCGAAGCATTATCTATTTTACCATTTGGTACCCCAAGCTAGGGACGCCTAGGTCAGCCGACGACTGGGGTCAGCGCCCTGAGCACTGTGCTCCGCGCGGGCAGCTCCTTCTGAGATTAAGTCGTCTTGTCGGCTTCCAGTGGCTGATCAGACTTCACTGTGCCTGCCTTCAGGAGTCATGGAAACGGAACGGAGTTACAGTGTTACACCTTGAACATCATATCAAAGAGTCTGAAACCACGGGAAGGTTTCATGCACAGGGGTAACATGATCATGAGTAAAAATCTAAAATTTAACCTGACAAAGAATGTAAAATGTCAGCGAATGAAAATAGTGTCCAATAGAACTTTCTGAGATGATGGAAGTGTTCTGTCCACGCTACACTATAGCGGCCACTGGCCACGTGTGGTTATTGAGCTTCTGTACAATGTGGCTGATCCACATGGGACTGAGAAACTGAACTTGTAACTGTCTTTGATTTTCATTATTTTAAATTTAAATAGCCACATGTGGTTACCAAACTGAAGCACTCTAGAGAAGAGGTGTAGGACCCAAATAAAAAGAATCAATCTATCATCCATCTATCTCCCTATCTATCTATCTATCTATCTATCTGGCTGTCTGGCTGGCTGTCTGGCTATCTGTCTATGTATGTATGTTGCCCTTTGGAGAACAATTAGGATAGCTGAAATATATGTGCGCATATATAAGTGTGTAATTATGTAATACAAGTGCATTTATGACATATAAATATGTAATCTAGAGAGCTCAATTGCAGGGGTTTTTTCAGCTCTCAGAGGACAGTTTTGGTCCGCTATAAGTTAGTCTTTTTGTGTGGGTGTGGTACATGCCCCTAGTAGGAACCGAACCCAGGACTCTCTGGTCCACAGGCCGACGCTCAACCGCTGAGCCCAACTGGCCAGGGATGAGGGCTAAGTTAGTCTGCCTTTACTGGAGAAGAACTCCTCTCCTGTTAGAACCTAACTTCCCTAAAACCAGAAGCATGTCTTCTGCCTCTATATCCCCTCGTCTTGTTTCAGCTGCCACCCCTGCCGCGCCTGAGTGCGGCCTCGATCTGCTGCAGACACGCAGGGCACCACGGGGCACACCAGGCCCACATGACAGCAGGGCTTCGCAGGGACGAGCAGTGGGCACACCACCTTATCGGCGTACCTCCCTCGACAGATTTACCCTGGTCACCCTGGAGAAGCCGATGAACAGGATGGCAGAGGAAGAAATCCTTCAACGAAACAATTCCCTTCACCGAACGAGGGGCAGCTTTTCCAATCCCAGGTGACTAATGTGGTCAAAAACCCCTATGGAATAAAATGCAAGTCTCCTGATCACAGAGCCTGAGTACTGGTTCCCAATGACTTTAGCCACAGAGGGGACAGCCTGTCGCTTTCAGCTGTGTCTAGCCAGACCCCAGACATCGGGGAAGAAGGCAGGAGCAGCCTCCGTGACCTGGTTCTCAGCATCGGCTCAGGGCCGCCGGCAGGCCTGCCCTCCGACAGCTGCCTCCACCGGGGCGGTTCCCAGGCTGACCCTAGAGACTAAGGGCCACCCACAGGCTGCCAGCCTTTTCCCAGTGGGCTGTGCTGTAGGGTCCTGAGGGGCGGTCTGCTCAAGGCGGCCTCTGTCTCGCCATGTGCTCTGGGGCTGGCCGTTCTGCAAACAGCTGATGCGGGAGCGGCCATGTGGCCCCTGGGGAGTCCCGTTACCTCAGTGGCTGGGAGTGTTGCCAGCCCGTTTCCCAGGGAACCTCGCTGGGGCACTCATGTGCACCCCGTCTTCCATCCTTCCCTGATCCAGAGGTCTCAGAGGGTGGGCAGGGTGAGGACCCCTCCCACGGGGCTCCGGGCCCGGAAGGGGGAGGGCAGTGCGACCGATCGGTACGCAGAAGGAGCCCACTGGGCCTCGGCTTCAAACCCGTTGTTCAGTGTGGCTTCATCGCAAACAGAGCGGCCCGGGCCTGTGTCTGACTCCTGCGCCCTCATGAACCGCGGGGCTCAGAGGGAAGGCGAGTCAAGAGCGCTCCAAGGTCAAGTCATCAGCTGACCCCCCCGCCGCTTTGTAAGCTGCTGGACCCGGCACCCAGGCAGCAGAGCCTCTGCCCTCTGGTGAGACGGCGGCCAGGTAACTGCCTGCAGGCCGTCCTGGGCCCCCTCCCCGAGAGCAGGGGCATGCCGACGGGCACCAGGCTTGGCGCCTCTGGGAAGAACGGGTTAAAAGTGGCCCAGGATCAAACAGTCTGGAAGAATGCCCCGCACAGCTCCCGAGACACACCGATCCTATCAGCCCTGTGTCTGCAGGGAGCAGTGTGGAAAGAAAGAAGCTCGGTCCAACCCCCTTCCATGGGGCCTGCGGGGACAGCAGCACTCAAAGGGGTGAAACCGAGCGCCTTCGCTCCCAACCGGAACTGAGCGTCCGCCGACTCCCCTGGGAGGCCGGTTCACAGGCTGCGGCAGATCCTCTCCCGAGTTCACGCCAAGACCCTGCGACAATGGCGATGCCTCCGGGCCTCCCGGGCCCTTCCTGGTCTGCTCACCGACGATACGACACCTCTCCTGCATCTGTGCCGAAGGACCGAACGCACAGTGCACGGAACAGACGGCTGGCGCGTTCGTTCTAGAGGCCCTTTCCCAAGTATTCTTCCCCACCTGTCCCTGCACCCCCAATTCCTTCGACAGAGAATCCTGCGATTAAAGAAGCATAACTGCACCCATGGTTTCCATACGCAGTAAGGCGCACCTTTCGTACACAGACAGCCTTGCGGGTGCAGGTGCGGATGGAGGATGTGCAGGCCCCGGCACAGATGGCGAGAGCCACAGGGCAGGGCAAGGGTGTGGAGGGCCGCGACGTGAGAGACGCCCCTTCATCATTCTTTCTACTGCTGGCCGGGCTGGGCTGAAGTGTCCTCCAGAGTCTCCAGATCTTGACTTTACAGGGTGTGGCCTTCACTTAGCGCCCACGCCTAAGATTTCTAAGATCTCAGTGTGTAGGAGAATTCATTGGGGTTCTGGTTAAAATGGAGGTTTCCAGGCCTCACCCTGAGCTGTGGTTTGAGACGTCCGGGGAGAGCTCAGGAAGCTGCAGGATTAGGGGGCGCACCTCTAAGCGAAGTCTGAGCCGGAGGTCCCTGGCCCACCTGGAGAAGCCTGCCTCGCACCCCTGGCGACAGTGGGCCTGGAGCCAGGGAGACCAAGCGGAGCCAGACCCGGGCCTCCGTCTCCTCCCGGCCGGGGGCAGAGTCCAGGACTGGAAACTAAGCCAGCATCTCTCCAGTGTCATCCAGGGAAAACAAGACTAAACGAAACCTAAGGACTAGCCGGTCACGCGCGTTGTTTATAAAGGGTTCCAGAAGCAGCCCTGTGAGTAGCAGCGCCTCCGTGCAGGGAATGCCAAGGGGGCACACTCAGGTCTCTCCAAAGGGGCAGGCTCTGCAGGGTCGGCTCTTCCACGTGGCGGCCTGGAGCTGGGGACTGCAGGAGATCTGGGTCCGAGAGGCTTCGCGTCCGCCACTGCTGCACACGTCTGCTTAGACGGTTCACTAAGCTTTAGTCCTTCTCTGTTCCCGACCCCCCTCAGCCAAAGGGAAGGGCTGATATCTTCTTCACTCGCTAGACTCCTTGGCCCGTAACAAGTCTCAGTTACTTTGAACGAATGAATGAATGGAATGAACCTTACACTGTGTCGGTGGGTCAAGGTGCGGTGACCACACACTGCTACCTTCCGGGAGACAGGGAAGGGGCCCGGGCCAGGGCTCCATCCGCCCCAGCCACCTTCCTTCCCTGGACGCCCTGCCTGGGGAGCAACGGGAAGGCACCCACGCACCAGGCCTTCCACACGACGTTCCGCCTGGACTCGCGCGCTTTGGGCGCGACGACCTGCCTGCCCTACGGCCTCCGAGCTCTTAGGTTCTTACAGAATGGGGGGAGGAAGTCCTCAAACCTGAAGCAGAAGGTGATTCTTAAGTTCTTTCAGTTGAAAGGAGGGGGCAGAAGTGTAAGGCCCCACCCTGGCATGTAGACCTTGCTCATCTGCCCCTGGGGTGTATCCCAATCTGGACAGCAGACAACATCCGGCCTGCGTCCTCGGGCAGCATTTTCCAGGGATCAATGGGACAGAAAAACCTCCAGGGACCAGAAGAGGTTGGTGGTGGGAAATACGCACAAGGAAAGACCCTTAAATAAAGATGAGTCAAAACCTTTGCTCCAAATTTTAAAAAGTAATATGCACAGTTCACTCACGGGCCCTCATTCAGTGATGGCTCCCAAGGAAAAAACTCAATGTAGCTGTCCCCACTGTTTACAGCCAGAACAGCTTCTCGGGGAGGCCGCCGCAGCCCCCCAGGGACAGAGTCCTTCTGTCTCTGCTCGCAGAAGTCTGCCCAGTGCCTTCGGCCCCTCCTGCCCCTCCGGGTCTCAGGCCACAGGCGATCTCTCCCGGGGCTTGAGAGCCAAGGAAGAGGACCTCTGAGCTCAGCACCCACAACCAGAAATGCTACAGTATCTATTTCAGGAGTCCTTTCTTGTGCATCCTCTCAGACAAATTCTACGAAACAACCAACCGAAAGAGCAAACATTAAACAGACTTCCCACTGTGACAAGGCGGATGGAAAAGAAGTCTGTGTTCGGAAATGCGATCAGCCACAGAATACAAGGCAAGTGGCCCCAAACA